TTTTTGCCGAAAAAAACAAAATTGGGACTGCAGAAGATACGCTCTTAGCAGCGTGGTCATCTAAATGGCAGCTATGACGTCAATGCTCGGAATGTATATCGTCATAGACTAAACAAAAAATGGATGGCGTAATTTTTTTTTTTTTTCGAATGCTCGGCTTTTATAATGCGCTCGTTGCCATCTGTCGTGAGTTAGCTCAGCGAGCACGCTCGAAGTTCACGGGACATCGATGTGTAATCGAAGGTCGCAAGCTCGCGCTGGAGGCTCGCCCCCGGCAGGGGCTTCCTGCCTCTGATAATGCCTCTTCTAAGAAGAGCTCACTTAATTCGCCAATCAAAAGCTAGTAACTGTTTACACTTTGATTACTTGGTTTTTAGTAACCGTGGGTGGTAATGAACTTGCTAGTAACGGCCTCTAGCTAGTAACTTGCACTACGAACGTCTTCATCAGGACACAGTATCTAAAACTATCCTTTCCAAGAAACTGATACTAACTCTCACCGCTAGCCCTAGGAGCCACTACACATCCTAGTAAGTATATGTATAACCACCTTCACCCAGTGGACGGAACGTATAAGCAGTGCGCGTGTTTTGTTATTCGTTCTAATTACTAGGTGAAGGTAGTGACCTAGTCATCATCTAGTAATGGCACATACATCATGCGACCTGGTGTTAGGCCGACTATTCGCAACTCCAACGCCTTATGGATGGCAGGGCTTTAGTTCCAAGATGTCGAAAGAGACGTGGATAGATCCTCTAAGATATTTTTGCGCCTACTCGCTGAGGTTGGTCAGTGCGCTAAAAATAATTTATTTGTTTACAAATACGAAGCAGACCGGGCAAGAGCATATCACAGGTGATGGAGGTGTTGATGTGTGTCTGAAAAACGAGCACGTTGATGTTTCAAAGTTGCGGAATCCTCAATTTTCGAACTTTCGGGGAGAAAGAACACGTTTGGAGCACCAGCCACGTCACTGTTTGGGGCAAAAGATTTTTGAGGGTGATTAAGATATCATAGTGTTTGCGCTTTGCCTATGCATTAGTGCGTAAAAAAGAGATCCGCGCACGGTGACCGTCAAGCTCCGAAAGAGGGACGGAAAGATTAAACTTTATTCCTCAAAGTCTGTCGTCCCAGGCACGCATCACCTTCATTCAGCCCTCTTCCCCGAGGATTTCGCTCGTAAGTTCCGTCAGTGCGGTCTATACGGTGTACTCTGTGCCCCTCCGGGAGGTAATCCACTCCTCCCAAGTGGATGATTGCGGTAAGCGGGTGAGGTATTTTGGTGTTGTGTCCTTTGTTGCTGGGTATTCCCAGAACGCGTGCTTGTTGTTTGGATATACGCCGCAGTTTGTGCATTTCGGATTTCCAGGGTAAACCGTCTGTGCAATGTTTGTAATGTTGTGTGAGGAGTGTTCCTGTCTGTGCCCTCCCGATGGTGACTGACTGTCGTCTAGTGAGGACTTTGGAGGTGCTTGTTAAGGTGGTGCTTTTATCTCTGAGTTGTTGGAGTAGATCAGTTCTTTCCGAGTGCAGTTTTTTTCTATGTTGGTAGGTGCCGTAGGTGAATGGCCAAAGAATGGAAGGGCCCAGTTGACTATTTACTCTGGCGAGCTCGTTTGCCTGTTCATTTTTCTCGATGCCTCGGTGGCCAGGCTCCAATCTGATGGTAAAGTAGCGTCTAGGGTAAGAATTCACGCATCCTTGGAGCTCCCAAAAGAGCCGCGTTCCAAGTACTGACGTAATCGTGTCACAGGCTCAGAACTCGCTTCTGACCGTCGCGATTTTAGTGTACTGCAACAAGTGATCAAACCGCGCTATGCTTACTAATATGAAGTTTAAGGATAGGGTGTCCGCAGGCTGCCGTACGGTGCATCATTGCAACCGGAAGCTCGCGCTGCGCCTTTGAAGCGTAAAGGCCCGTTCACACACATGCGTCCGTAGCGACCGGAACGACCGGAACAACCGAAACGACCGTTGCAACGGTCTGCAACCGTCAGTTGCCATAGCGACGGAGGGACGCACGCACGTGTCGTTCCCGACGCAAGGAGTTGGAGCGAGCCCAACTTTCCCCGATGCGTTGGAAACGACCGAAGCGACCGCAACGACAGACCAATCACAGGTCGAGGAGAATGAGTCGAGCGCGTTGCATGCCGGTCTGCCGGTCGCGGGTCGCCTCCTTCTGTCTGCAAACATGGCGTCGGTGGTGATCGTCGACGTCGGGGTGAAAGTTCATCGTTCCGCGTAAAAGCGCTAGCCTTGACTGTGAATTTTCGTCGTGTGTCGCTATGATAACCCAGCACGTATTAGAAGGGAAGATCCACCTACTCGTGCGGCGATGTCGTGGTTGTACTCTCAAGACAGCAGAAACGCCCGTGCCGTCGTGTTTGTTTACTTCGACTATAGTGGTGCTTTCTGAGCATTTGTGTCCTCGAACATCGCCCGGATTTCTGATTTGGCGCATTCCTTGCGTGTGCCCAAGTTCAAGGTATTACTGGTGCGTACCGTATAAAGGATGCGAATTTTTTACTCGTTTTCATCGCCCGAAAAAGGTGATTAGTGTTAGCAATCCTGAACGCTCGCATCGTCTGTCAAATTATATTTCTACGTTTCTATATCGTTGCTAAGATTACATCGTCTTTTATAATCGTAGAAAAGGCGTGTGGCGAGATTTGTACTGTTGGCAAAGTCGTGTATTAAAGTCGTGATCGTGCAAGACGGCGTACTGGATCTCTTTCTTCTTTTTTTTTTTAATGCACTACCCTGCAAGCTTATCCTGAAAAGAGTAATAAAGCTTGAGGTCATAGAAGACGGTCTGTCTATTTTCTGTTACGCAAGTGAGTGGCAGCGCGTCCCCTTCTTTTTGGAGGCACCGCTGAAACAGCTGACGGCAACGGAGAGGCGGTCAATGATATTGTAGTGATACAAGCGCAGCGGGTCGGCAGCGCAGCGGTCGCCGTGCTGCCGACCCGCTGCGCTTGTTGCAGTGGTTGCAGGTGTGTGTACGCGCGGCGCAGAGCGGTCGTTCCGGTCGCTTCGGTTGCAACGGACGCATCGCGCTCGTTGTACATGTCTGAACCAGCCTTAATTTTCAGCGCGCGCCGGAAGCCTTGCCGTGATCGCGGTAGCCTGCAGCAACGCCATGATCACACTGCCTATTAACGTGATCTGCGTGTTTAGATGTTTCATTTATTCTTCTTTAAAACATATTTTAATATACCGTATACTACATTCGTGTACAGTGTTAGTTGCAACGCAACGTTGCGACTCGACTCGCCAAAACTGCCCGTTCTAAGCGCTCGTCCTCGTAGGCTCCAACACAGACGCGCTTAAAATGCGTCGAGCATTTCCTTAGTAATTGTTTTTGTAATAACTTGAAAGCAAGTACGCGTATTCTGTGTTTTGAAAGTGCTTGAAGCAAGTGGTCATGTACCTTGTAACGGCCTTAAAACGCGAATCCATTCCTGATGTCTATGCGAAGAACAAGTATTCCAAAACGCGTCTTTGGCTCATCGGAATGCAAGGAAGAGCACGCCAATCAGAAAGCAACATAGAGGGTAAACAAACGCACGAGGTGAGCAAGGAGCAGACGACCTTGCACGCCGTATTGCTCGACATACCGTCGCGCGAACAGTTTTCTCCCACTTAGGGCAAACAAGAGACTTTTCGTACATACGCTATAGAGCTGTACACTACTATATATATAACGGGAGCTTTGCCGTCACGTTGAGCACTGATTGAGCTGGCGTATGCAATGTACAAGAAATCCCTAATTAGTTTGACATCCCGGTCCGTTTGTGAAACGCTGCTGCGAGGCGGAACACAAGTATTCATAGTTTAACCGGCTCACTTCTTTCTTTCTTTTTTTTAATTGCTTCACGCACAATCATGCAGGTTATAACTATGCGGTAATAGCAGCACCAAGGCGCCAAGGCTAGCCAAGGTCGACAGTCCCTGCCATCGTCTCCGCGCCTCCACCGCCTTCCCCGCTCCTCTCGTTCTTCATTCATCCGCAAGGGGGCGAGCGGCGCGCTGGAGTTGCGAATAGCCGTGATACTTTGGATTCAGCTTGTCACGACTATGTACCGTTCTCATTTTGTCATTCACTATTGGAAATATACTCGACCAACTGCGTCGCCGTGTTCGGCCCTCCACGATTCACATCCAATTCACTATAACGTCTTGTAGTGATTGATTTCCGCGGTTACTAAGGAATGTGGGGAGAGAGGGGAAGACGGGGAAAGCAGATAAAACCGAGGAGAGAGAGCTGCCCGGCAACGGGGCATCTCTCTCTTGGTTGAAAAAACCCCGAGACTGCGGGTAAACGACACAACACTAAAAAGTCTCTACTTTTTAGTGTTGTGTTATAGAGACTTTTTAGTGTTGTGTCGTTTACCCGCAGTCTCGGGTTTTTTTCAACCATGTGCAATGTACAACGTTTGCGCCCTTACTTTTTGTTCATCTCTCTCTCCTCGGCTGACCAGAAGCATCAACGTCATGATTTCGTCACATGCTGCGCGCGTCCGACACCCGGGGCGCCCCCGTAAGAGGAGGAGGTTTCCGCGTCGTCGGGTTAAAATACGACGCACTGATATTTAGTTACTCTTCCCGTGCCCGCTGGGTTGCCCGAACCACAATAGACGTGGCAACAGCAAAAAATTAAGACGCTTAATTAGGATTGTAGGGCCCCTTTAAGTATGAGAAATCCTACCATCTAAATTGTCGCTGGAAATCAATAATCCCGGTTGTGACGTCATAAAATTGAATTATAAAAGGAAGCCACCGAAACGTCTTGTCGCCAATAGCGCCCTTTAGAAGGCCCCTGAGGCAAACGGGTAAATAGAGCTTTCCGAATGGCCAAGGCATGAAAAGGAAGCTGTTCGACCCAGGGTGTACAGGTTCTACTCTCCCATTTGTCCTTGAAGGGACAAGAGTCGTGTTCGCATTATGCAGTTTTTCCTGGGAAAAGGAATCCCCCCCCCCCCCCCCCCCGGTCTTCTTTGCAGGGGGGACGCTGTCCGCAAGCTCATCCACGCGTACATGGGCGCCATCAGGCGCAGACAAGACAGTCGAATCGAGGTCATCTACTGGCTGGGCACCCTGAGGAGCATCTCAAAGATGGCCGCCCTCGTCCACACCTTGGACAGACGGAGGACGGCTCTAGGCATCGCCGTCATGAGCGTCACCTCCACCACCCTGGAGGACGTGTACCTCAAGTACGGGAAGACGTTGCGCGAACATTGAGCAGACACGACGGGGTCAAGTGAATACCGCTAAGAAGACGCATGCGCGTGACGTCGTCGTTGGTGGATCTCCGACCCGACCCCAAGCGGCAAACACGCTCAAGCTCCACATGAGCCGAAACAAAGCGGCAGACGCCCGTGTCTTGGCGTCGCCGCGTGCCATAGCTTCACGTTCGTTGTGAGACGCTGCGAAACGCGCTGGCGGCGACACTGAAGCAAGGTAGGCGACGCTGCGTCGACCCACTAGCGATGACGTCTTCCGGGGAAAGGCGCAGGACTTGTCTTGTAGCGGCTTCTTGCGCAAGAGTTGCGGTGACGTCAGATAGACGCCGAGCTCTGATTGGTTCCGATTGAAAGGACAGTGGGTAGATCTCAAAGCAAGCTGCCTTGAGGTCTAACCACTATCCTTCATTCAGAACAAACCAGAGCTCGGCGATCTGACGACACGGTATACCCCCTGCAGAAGAAGCAGAGGAACTTGCCGCTTCGCATTGGTCAAATACGCTCGATGCGTGGAGATGTTCGAACCTTAGAACGGATATATGGACGGCGCTGTGGCTTATCTAGCGCGTCCCGTGTGCCAGTTTTATATACAGAGGGAAAGGTGGCAGGCATTGGGCAAGAAATTGAACAATCACGCTTCTAGTGGTTCTTTTCAGCTCGGAGGACAAAATACAAAAATTACTTGTCTTGTTGCCGCCGCAGCGTGACGACGGACCTCGTGTTTTAATCAGCGAATTAAGAATCATTGAACTTAATTTCCGGCACCCAATGCTGACGCAGCAATCCTGTCCGATCTGTGCCGCACGCTCGATAGAGTTCGGTGACGTGTAACTCCAGTGCAACACAGGCGTTGGGTAAGCACCGAGCTTTGTGGACAAGCGGCAGAAAGCGCCCTCTACGTACTGCATACACCCCTGAGCTGACAGAGCGGTGGAAGCTACGCACTCGTTGCCCCGGTCATCCGTCTATCTTTCACCACGTGATCACGCTGCACCCATGCGTTTTTTTTTTTTTTTAATATTATGAGATTTGTGAGTACAAAGACATGAGTTTTGACATTGATGCTGGGTGAAGGCTGAGCACGCGGAACTCGAATGACAATGCGCTTCCCACAAAACAGGTCCTTCCGTGGTAACGATGTGCAAACTTTTGTTCACTGTTAGCTAATAGTAAGAAACCGATAACAGTCGTGGTCTGTTGAAAGTAACTGAGTAAATGTTTACTTTGAGCACCCCCTCTACGTTGATTTCAGACATCCGCCTCGCTCTCTTTCAGGATGGTTGGGATCCCCGACTTCAAGGGTGCCGGGCAGGAGTTCAAGACTTCACCGACCCTTGCAGAATATGAGGCGAGCATGGAACAGCAAGGTCGGTCAAAGGACACGCTAAAGAAATTGCGTTGGATTTTAATGCAGCTGGCCTCAGAAGACCACTGCCGCGCGTCCACAGTTTTCAGGAGGGAAGAGCTCATTTAACGTCTTACAATCCTATTAGGATCGATATTTTTATTTCTTTCACTTCACTTTAATGCTTTCCCAAATTTTATACAGCACATAGTAGTGCTGACATGCAGATCTACACGATACGTGAAATACAATGTTCGGTTTTGAGGCGAGATATCATGGACATATATCCCTCTGAAAACTTCGCATTATGACTGCCAGTTTTGAAGTCGACTTGATCGCGATGAAAAATGTCTGCGCACATTACGATCGAGCTTCATCAAACTAACTTCTATACTCAAAGTGCCGTTTAATTTTAGCCTTCCGACTGCTCGAATCGGTTTTATTAAAATATACGCTAAAATTTCTCATTAAAACGCGATTGATTTGTTTATGTACACAAATTTTGTCATGCACTTTGCTGGAATGTTTCCTCGGCTCTGAGCCTCGGTAAACCTTGATTTGTATTCATCCGCCAAGGTGCTCTGATAAAGATGAGTTGTAGTCCTTGACCTGAAGGGCTAGTTCCCCAGTTTCGTGTACGGTACCAAACGAATGTCGACACAAAACTACACAAACCTGTGGACAGTTACCGCCATCTATGAGCAACGGTGGCAACCAGACAACCAGTCAGTTTGCCGCTTTCGCTCATAGATGGCGGCAACTTCTCCAGCTATCATAGAAGAATGGATAATCGGGCGAGTCGGTAGTTCGTAGGTAGGGCCATAAGGTTCATCGTAGGAAACAGCGCGCAAAACAGGCGAGGCCGAAGAAGTAACACACGGTACGAGCGTACAGCTTCGCTGGCCTTTCTTCTTCACCAGAGTAGGAAGGCAAAACTTTTTTTTTTTTACATGATACTGTTTATAACATTTTTTTCAGAAAATCAGTGCTAATGAATGTTTTATAACAGAATAATGATAAAAAACCACTCAGCCGAAAAACCTCTCTAGATTTCTTTAAAGCTCGTGTGAATTGAAGTATGCCTATGCCATAAAATAATAGCGCTCCCCGTAGATCATTTCTGATGACTGCTAATAATCAAAAAAAACATATTGACTTTCCAAGATCTTTTTTTTTTATTTTTTATTAGGACGACAGAAATGCAAAGCTGCAAAGCTACAGCTGCAAAGAAGTCATTTAATATGCCCATCAACCAACTCACCCAACTTTACACCTTGTTGCGGAGAAACCTCAATAAAAGTTTGATCTTTTTTTTTTTTTTTTTTTTTTTGGGAGGGGGGGGGGTTATTAATAGACACTAAGAATAACAAGATTAAACGCAATACCGTTTTGTTTGTATATTTTTGACCGTACTAGATAGTTTTTAGGCGGACTACCATTTTTTTAAGGTAGTTTTTTTCAAGTATTTGTGTTTTAGTTCGCTTTAGGGTAAGACGCTGTATAGCAGAAGGAAAAGATAGGACAAGCTTTGCACGGAGTATGTGCATGCGCGTGATCTTTCATTACTGGACCAATCATGTACGGGGAAGGCCTAGAGACTTGCACTTTTGACACTCTTTGATTGGCTTCATTACCTCGTAGCATCGGCTACTTTTGGATTTAGGCTGGAATGGAAATTTCCACGCAGAACTAGAAGCACTTCGGCAGCTCTGCACCGCAAGAACAAGCAGTCCAAGCACAATGAGCGTGCTGGGGACTCTCCTGGACAAGCGTTTTCATATTTGGACGCGAATCTGGTGGTTCAAGTCGCTCTCCCTGCTGCTCCCACTTCTGACATTGATCCTTCTGGGACTAACAATACGCCTGGTCAGGTTCGAGTCGCGGCCCTACCAGCGCAACGTCACTTACAAGGCAGCCGCGGTGTTCGACAGATCGTACGGATTTGTGGAAGGGGACGGCTCGCAGAACCATTTTCTCAGCGACTTCATGCGCCCGGTTCTGGTGGAGAACGGCGTTAACCTGTTTGTCGTTAACGGCACCTCCATGGAGCGTGAGCTTCTGCTGATGGCTGACGAAGATATTAATGTCTACATCTTCGAATACCAGTACGGGGTCAGCCTTCACAAGAACGACAGGTGAGCTTTGATGTTGTTGGCATCGGGCTGTATATATGGGGCACTAATTTTATGACACGAAGAGAAGCTCGAGCACGTATCTACACAGCTTAGTAAACTTAAATATAATCGGATACATACTGTTTTGTTAAGTCGGCATATGAATACTTTAAACAATTTTAGATCAAGCGATCGCCAGCCTGAGTGGAAAGACCATTAAGCGTAGCGCCACAGTCTTCAGCGGACTCTTGTAGTCCACGCAAAATGTAGCCCATGCCCCTCAAACAAAAAATGGAGTACATCGGTGAATAAAAACACTGAACTCGTAGGAGCGAATACGTGACGAAGAATCGACGAACTTCACCCTGCTTCACGATTCCTTTGCACGTGGCTCAACATCAGATGCCATGCGCAGATCAAGAGCCCACCTGGCAGAACTCTTCGCTTTTTTTCACTCCATGGGGTCCAGCGTCTAAGCACTGGTTTTGAGCGCTTAGAACTTCCTTGACCGGCTTGCAAGGAACAAAGGTTTAGCTAAGACTATCAAAAATACAGCCCTGCCAAATTGAGACTTCAGCGCCTGCGCGCCCAAGGCTCGGTACATTTCCTTCACACAGTCCTAAGGCCCCGCCCCTGGGAAGTCCGCCCAGAATTACAATTGATGCCAGTGGGCACACGAAACAGCCCCCTCGCCCTGATGGGTCCCGCCTCTCAAACACACAAAACCCTACCTTAGTGAACTCATACAGAAATGAAATTATTTATTAGGTCATTCCGTAACCAAACTCAGTGAACGATGCATTCGTTCCTTCCAGGGTGTTCCTTTGGTACAACGGCCAGTGCCCCCACAGCGGCCCCCTGGTGGTCAACATGTACCACACGGCACTCCTCCGCAGCGTGTCCGGCGAAAGCCGGTCCACGATCACCCTGGTAAACTCTCCCCTGCTCGACGATGACTCCGTCCAGCGGGCCATCTTCGAAAGCCAGTACGGCAAGCTGGCCTCGGATCGGATCGACGACACATTCTTCAGGCAGAACACCTTGTCCCGAGCTCTGAACTCGTTCTTCGTGTCCCTGGCGATGGGCTTCTACTCGGCCTGTCACCTTGTGGAGCCGATCGGCGAGCGGCTGAGCGGCTTCAAGCACCTGCAGTTGATGACGGGGATGTCTGGTTCGCTCTACTGGATCGGCCATCTGCTCTTCGACGGCGCCGGGGCCATGGTCAGCTCGTGCGTCTTCATGGTGGCATTTATTTTCAGTCACGACACGCTTCCCGGGACGTACTGGGGTGAGTAAGCAGACGACAATTTTTGAGCGGTGAATTAAATTGATTGACCAGGCGGACGCCTGGCCTGAGATTGTGATGGAGACCTCTATGTCGAGTCTTTGCGTTGCCCATCATTGATTAGAGCGTACACGAGGACAGGACTGTATACGCTCGCTGCCTCATGGTGCACGCTGAAATGAAACATTGACACTATCACTGCATATACACTAGTACGCTCTTGGGCATTCTGATGTGTAAAGTTTTTCATGCTTGCAGTCTTTGTCGTGTGTGTTATCATTTCTGCCGTCAATTAAATCTTGATTTTTATGACGCAAATAGCGTAGCCTTCTTTTTATTATTTTGGTTTCAGTGGTTTCTATGCGCTAGAAAAGAGCGTATCGAGCTCGAAGAAACGATCGCAATTTTTTTGCATTTAATCTTGCACCACAAGACGGCTGTTGTGGGAACCAGTTGCGTTGCGCATTGTGGTCATGCGAGGCACCGTCTTCGGTTGTAAAATTGAGATTTTTAGTAGTTAGCTGTGTGGTATTTGTTGTGCAGGATTTTTTTTTTTCAGTAGAGCGCCAATTTTGTACTAGGAATAATTGCGTATCGCGTTGCGCGTACGATGGCCTTCTATGTTCGTTCCCAAACGCCGCCCCCGTGACCTCGACCGGCGATACCGTTGTTACCTTACAATTACGGCTTACTGCGATTTATAAATAGAAGTTAAGGGCCCTTCGACGAATGGTTCAGGTTGCCACTATGGTCACTGGCAGAAAAAGAACGGCAGGAAGTCTCTTTTGAATGCCCGGCCCACAACAGGCGCTCGTTGCCCTCCACCGTGCTTCGCGTGCACGCTCGAGGCTCGCCAAAAGCCTTGTCGAAGTTAGAAAGCAGGAGCTGGAGGCAACGGAAGGACCTGTCGTTCTAATCCTGCCAGTGACTAGAGTCGATCTAATCTCTTGCAATAGTGTGTATTTTCGGAATCAGCAATGTTTGTTTCCGCACGACGCGATGAATGTCAGCATGTAGCGCAATGTATATGGATTATAAATAGGGCATACTATAAATAAAACTCCGGAAGCGCTCAATGGCCCTGAAAGACTTTGGATCGTTAAAACCAAAGCAATCGATCAATGAATGTGACCGGAACTTGGTGTATAACTCATAGGACGCTAAAAGGACGCCTCACATACAAGCAAACGAACAACCAAAGAAGCACGCGCACACAAACTCAAAATACACGAATGTTACCGTATTTTCGTTCCCAGCGGCCATGTGGCTTCTGATGCTCGCCTACTGCTTCGCCATGTTGCCGCTCATCTACCTGTGCACGATGATGTTCTCGGAGTCGGACAGAGCCTACTTTGTCCTGGCACTGACCTTCATGCTCGCTGGTACGAACAGAGAGCGGCAACTTCGCATATATATTTTTTTTTTCTGATGGTTTGTCTGTTTGTTTTGCTCATTGCTTGAGGGCCAAAGCTCTTCCAAAGAAAACGTGCTTTTACGCTTTTAATAAGGTTATGTAAGTTACGCGCGCATATCCTTCGTAAACTTCCTCGGTTAACTCGAGACGTTGATTTACGGTGTCTTACTAATCAGTGCTCAAGTTTTCCTCTTTTTTTTTCATTGTTCGTAGGGTGACAGTTTGATGCCAGTTTGATTTACCGGTATTTCTTTGTGGTAATAGTGATGTTTGTTCGTTTCTCTTCCGTGAGGATTGCGTCGGTGATGATGTTCAGAGGCAGAGGCGGCGGGTCGCCGGATCGTAGAGACGACGGATTTCAAGACGGGACTCAACAGTCGATGATGAAAAGAATGAATATATTTACAAGACAGAACAGTTGAAAGTTACAAGACGCTTTCCATGGACCAAGCAGCCCTTCGGCCCCTTCTTCGGTCGCTTATTTAAGTTTCCCCCCCTCTCCCACTTGCTCAACGACCAATCCCAAAAGGTCTTCTCGCAGCCAATCAGGGAGAACACTCTAAACAACAAAAACACTCCAAAAAGACTCACAGAAAAACACCCACCCACGCACATACACACATGTCGGGCGCACCGCGGTCTCCGTCAACGACGGGAAAGTCAGACCCCCGGGCCGCGAACCCGACTCCCGAAGGCACCACCAAGAAACCCTTGGTCAGTGGCTCTTCACATCTTGGATGGGGACGCCAAACAAAACACAAACACAAAAAGTACTCAGCGCGTCGGAAGCACAGCCGCCCGAGACGTCCCTGTCCGAGGTTACGAACGGGCGCACATTCCGAAGTGCGGGGGACCCGTCCCGCTTCCGTCCCCACTCCCATTAACAAGTCGCCGACGACCAGGCGCGGGGAGAAACGCAACAGATAACGAACCCACGCGGGATCCGCTTCTTGGAATCCCCCGCGCCTGGTGGTGTGCTCAGTAAACCTCACAGTAATATATTTTTGTTATTGCTTTGTTTGTTATTTTTGTTACACCACACTGCGTTCCTGTAGTTGCCTTGACCGGCAAATGAACCAATAAATAAAATAAAACAAAGATTTTAACGAGCCGAGCAGGAGGCGCCCAACTTGTGATTAAACAGCTTCCGATGACAATCTCTTCGCAGGCATCGTGGGATCTCTGACTGTGGAACTGTTCGACCTGTTGGCCGCGTACGCGCCGTCGTTCCTGATGACGGTGGCGATCGTGTCCTTGGGGTTTCTGTGCCGCTGGTTCCCCACGTACTCCTTCTCGCGAGGCATCGTGAAGCTGGTCCTGCTGGCCAGGTACAACGCCGTCTGCACCACGGGCGGGGAACTGCTCAAGGCTGCCTGCAGTGACGGCACCCTCTCCACCGACGACAGGATCATGCCCTGCTGCGAAGGTGCCTAGCCCATATCGCTGACTCGAGAGAGTTCACTATACGATAAATGCCGGCTTCCTCAACATGTTTTTTTTTTTTTTTGAAGCGATAGCCATTATGGGTTGTTCCTCTAAATCGCAATAGACCATTTGCAGTCCTCCCAAGCGCCCCGGCGCGCGCGCGAGGAATCTTGGGATCGGTGTTCTGTCGGCCCCCGTCGTCTGGCTGCTCTCCGTTGGAATCGCATCACCTCGCTCTAGACATACTTTTCATCTTCGTTGTTTATACTTAATAATCCTCTTTTTTATCTACTCCAGTGTATTTTTCTTGTTCATAAGTGTATCTATTTCGTTCAGCGCTTTGTATTTCTTCTGTATATTACGTGTTTTTGTGCATATTCCATCGTTTTCGACGCGGCCGTCGACGGACACCACGCCGCTTCGTTCGCCGCTCCCGGGGTGAGTACTGACTGTTGCCGTTACGCTCTATCCCGCTCCTAGGCCGTTCATTTAACTCGTGTGCGGTCGCGAGAGAGCAGTTTCGAACATCACTACAAATGTCACCGCTGTAAGCAGAGAAATAAAGTAGTCATCACGAAGCGAAGGCCGACATGCCTTCGCTTCGTGATGCGCTCGCCCTGTGAAATGTGAGCGTGGGATATCGAGTACTGCTTGCGTGCTCAACATTCGGGACGGTGCTTTGTCGTTGCGATCTTTTTGCCCTTCGGACGCTTGCGAAGCTGTACCAGCGGTCGGCGTGCCTCGGCAGCGCTCGTCAACAACCGTCCGCGCGGCGTCACTTTTCTCGCGTTCGCTGACCGTCCGCGAGCGCCGGTGATTCATCGTCGCGGCTGGTATGCGTATGTAGTACATCGCATAGCTTCACAATCGCTCTTAACAGCGGTTGTGAGTTGAGCGGGCCCTTAGCAAGCGAGTTATGTCAGCAACTGCAACTTTGAAACTGATGGTCACTTCACTTATTTATTTCACTATTCGAGATGTCAGCTGAATGTAGTATCTTCTTAGGTCACCCTCAGAAGCCACATGACGGGCGGTACAACCTGCTGTGTACCGGGCTGTGCCCACACCACTCTCACTGCCAAGCATGTGTCCTGGAATCGCTTTCCGAAGAACAGCCATCTACGCAACATTTGGGTACAGCGAATCAACAGGAAAGGTATTTACCATATTTTTTTACTTGTTATCTACACTTTCCTGACAATGATCAGGAAGGTACAGTGTGTGTACTGTCCGACGTGGCCCAAGTCATTTTACCCATATGTACAACATACCTGCGAAACACATTTTTTTTAAAAATAAAAATAGCATTCATTATTTTTGACCTATAAGTGCAACATACGACTGAAACAAAAAAGACAATCTCAAAGAATCCCAGATGTTGCATGTGCCCTTTTCACTCTCTTGGCCACTTCCACCTGCACCGACATACCAATATTTGATTGCATCGCAGGAATGTCGCTTCATCTCACTACCCTACAGCTAAAGCAAAGATACTCTCACAGTGCTTCTATCATTTTCAGCGTGCATCCACTCCAGGTTTGTTAGGCATAAACTATGTGCTTGTTCTTAGTGCCCGCTGCACAATGGTACTGGAAGTGTTTAGAAGGCGGTGGGGTGACGATGGGGGAGGAGGAGAACTGAATTCTACCCCCTTGCCCGGATAGTTTACTGACGCCCCTGTTCAGACGCCACGGCTGCTGCATCCATTCTTACCACTGAGATTGAGTTGCACTTGCTCCAAAGTTGAATGGGTGAATCTTAATATGGTGCTAACTGCTTCTTTTGCATGCAGGTACCACTGGACGGTTCTCTCTGTGGACGCCAACCTCTGACAGCAGAATATGCGGCGCTCATTTTAACGAAACTGGGAGAAAGAAGTACGAGGACAAAGCTCCCCGGTTTTTTCCAACCAGGACATTTCCGAAGTGTATGTTATTTGCCTATTTTTGTTTCTTTCTGCAATAGTTGTTTTTCCCTGCTTATATTCTTGCTTGTGATCACTGTATACATGGGTCGTTTCTCACGTGAGCTACGTCACTGCTGGTGGCGTCTGGTGATTTGTGGACAGCGGTGCTACCCAGTGAGCATGGCGAAATACGTGACCTACGGAAGCAATCATCGCTCTCATAGAAAAAGACGGAGCTTCAAGCAATCGTAATGTCAGATTTTGTAGAGCTGCAGACATAATAACAATGTTTTGTCTGAATACATGAGATCTCTCAACGGCTAGACGACGCAAATGGACTGCAATCGAAAAGAGGTTTTGCGACGTGCGGTTAAGTAGCATCAAGGATATCACTGAAACTGAAAAAGTATAACATTCTCGTCCGTCATTAAATTTGCAGTGGGAATAGGTGGCATATAAACCTACTGACTGCCTTTTTCAAGGATTTGGCTTGGCTTAGCTAGCTTGCTGCTCAAGGCACCAGGGGATGTCGCTCTGCTGCCTTCATCTCTGATGGCCCCAAATGACAGCTTTTAATCCAGCTCTCTCGTTGTGGAAAGTAGTGAAGGCTCTGCATGTTTCCTGTCGTACATTGAAGTGCCAGCTCATCTCGACTCTAAATAACAGCAGTGTGTTTGAACGGTACCAGACGATGCTTCTTTATATTTCCGACTGCTCTATCTGACACAGTCGGTCACAATGCAAGAGGACTTCAGCGAGCTGGAAAACACTCTCTTAGCACATAGAAAAACATAGGAGAAAATGTACCAACATGAATTCTAGAAATATTTTGAGCGAAAACTGACGTCAGGTGCAAGGACTCTATAATTACTGTCCACCGTGTTTGCTTGACTAGGCAGCTTCCTAGTGACCATTCAAGCAGATAGAGTTGGACATGCCTTGTCAGGAGTTTGCGGTCGTAATATGCTTGAGCCAACTGCTTTGTAAGAAGTTGCAGCTGTGCATATCGTTCGTGTCACAAATGGAAACACATATGAATGCGGAAATATAATTATGTTTAATAAAGGGCCCTTTAGGCAAGTATGGACAGCCTAAGATGGCACCGAATATAGTCGATTTCACAGTAACATGGCAGGTGGCAGACTCTATAACCCCTGTGAACTGATTGAAGTGTTGAAGTCAAATGTATGTGACAGCTCTTTACTAGAGAAGTGTACTCTGATTGGCTCGCTTGGGACAAACCTTTTGTTGTGTGCCAAACTATGTTGAATAAGGATATAAACTTTGTTCCCTTCTTTTATACGCCGGTGGCTGTTGAATGCACTTCGTCTCAGAAAGAACTGCAACAATCGCTATTTGGCTACAACATTCCAGACCAGCTACCAAAGGGTAGAAACAGTGACCGCTATTGATCCAGCTGAGCTCTTGGTTGTTTGACATGTTATGTGCTCCGTACAGTGTAAGCTGTGCCCTGTGCTAGACAGAATTCCAGCCGGTATGTAATGCTTATAAAATAATTGCGTGAACAATTGCCTTATCCTTGCCTGCAGATGTTGCGGCCTGCCCAAAGGTCCCAAACATGATCTGCGCAAGGAAGCGCCATGCGCTGCAGCCGCTGCCGGCCTACTTTCTGTCGGACCTTGACCTGGCACAGACCGTGACCCTGCCTGCTAGCCAGGAGCCAGCACAACCCGGCAGCCCCTTGGCCTCCGCTGGTGCCCCTGACACTGATGATGTAATAGCTAGCGGTAAGCTCCTAACATTGAGCATCAGTGTTGCTCGTCTGTTTATTTGGCATCCCTGTCAACTGTGCAGCAGTCCCGATAGGTGCATGGAACACTTACATGCAGTACGTCGAACTTTACAAACTGTACTAACTCAGTCACCGCTGGCTATAGCACGCAAGTTGTGGCCGTTCCATACTCGCAGCACCATATGGCACGGTGCACTCTAAGATACCGCACATGCAAGGTACCCGCGGAGTTGTTCTTTCAGATTGCGGTCACACCCTCACTTCATTGTCTGCCAGGTACAAAGGAGATGCTGCCACAGCCCTGCTTGCATGTTATTTGCCTCAAGATCCAGATTGAAAAGTGGGGACACATGCTTTTGTTTATCCATTGTTTCCTACAAGACAAGCGGCGATTCTCTGGCGTCCACAAAAAAACCATCCCCACTTTTGTTATGGAGCACGGGCAAGGCTATGCATGCTCTTAGAATTCGCAGTTGACTCCAATGCATGCGCACGAACGCTGCACCGGAGCCTCTCAGGGCTTCGAGTTAGCGTCCGCAGCATTCTCCGTGCTCCAAGTAAGTGTAGAACAAAGCTTAGTTCCGCATTTCCCCGCAGCACCCCTGACGATCGGATCTCAAGGCGAATAGCCAGCATTCCCATTATAGCTCCTTCGTGTGGAACAGAGCAGCATTAAAGAGGTCATAAACCGACTCAGTTACTTCTGCTAAATGCTGCTGTCGCACAATAAAGCTTGAGAACAAGCAATATTCTGCTCTTCCTCACAGCCAGGTAAAATAATCACATGATTACTGTTAGGGGTTAGCTGCTACTGTTGGCGCAGTGATTAGACACAAGCCCAAGCCCCAATAGTTACCATGGCATTGATTGTAACCAAATAGTCAGGTGCTCACTCAGTGCTTGGGTCCAGTTCATAAGCCGTCTGTATTCAAGTGTCGTCACCCTGGTGTGAACCCTAGGCTTTCTCAACATTGTGATTTCTGACTGTAAATTAGCCTTCTATTCCTCAGAATATAACCTTGGCAGGGGAGCCTCTGGTTTGTGGTATATAGATTATTATATAGATTATATTTGTGCTACAGACGTCAGTATGCTTGTATGAGGTGCAGAACATCCAAATGCATATCGTTTCTTGGCCCCTTTAACATGTGATGCTTTTTTTGTATGGCACATGATATGCTATTTGGCAGAGCCAAGGCAATTACAAGGAGAAAGCCTAGTTTTTTGTTTTGATATTTGACTGCAAAAATGATGTGATATTTATTTTGCTATCTCCCCATCTGGCAGACCACCAGTACAGCATCACAGGATGTATCGATCAAGCCCTGCGTGATCGCATCAGGCAGCTAG